TGTGCAGGGAAGAAGCAAGAGAGATGGACAGAAACAACAGCTAGAGGGGAACAAAAGAAGTAGGAAGTATCTATCAGTGGCGCCCTCCAACCATCCTTTCTTTATCTTAAAATTATAGTAAAGGATTTGCACATTTAACATTTTATATAAAAATAGTGTAGGGTTACGGAAAATCTTTTTTTGTTTTTTTTGTTTTTTTTGGGGGGGGGGGTGTCTAGCATTTTAACCTACGACAATGCTGAATGACGGCAACAATAATATACCGGCGACCAAAAGGAAGGTACCACTTTTTGATTGTATGAACAATCTATACTTAAGTGTTTTTACGCCTTCCTTTAACTTGAGAAATTATACTGAGTAGTCTAAAAAGTAGGTCATGTTATAATATAACAATTAGGTGCTTCAATTTGTGCTCATAGCACCACCAACAAAAAATAGTAAATCGGCATTTTTCATGACCACGTGGTGTTTTTTTTTCTTCTGTTCTTCATTTAAAAAAATGAAGTTTAGGTCTTTGTTTATCAAAAACCGCAACGACATTAATTTGATCATTGTCACCTAAGAAAGATGGTAGGTTTAACTCAACGCAGAGAAATCGAGCCAACGGTGTACTCTACGGCGCGTTTTTGCTGCTGCCAGGGCATACACGTCAGTTTTGTGTTGACGTAGAATGTTCTGGCAACAGCGGAAAAGAGCGGAGCATGCCGATAGATCGATTTCTGTGATGTTGAGAGTTGAACCTACCACCTTATTTACCACAATGATTAAATGTTATTGCAGTTTTTGATAAACAAAGACCTAAAGTTCATTTAAAACACAAATAATAGAAGAAAAAAATAGCCAATTTAATATGCTTTGGGTTTGGTGCTGTGAACAAAAATAGAAGAACCAGAATGTTATTTTTATGACATGAACTACATTTTAGACCACTTAGTATTACTCACATGATAGGAAAAGCATAAAGACTCAAAAGTCTAGATTTTTGCGAAATCAAAAACTGGTACCTTTCTTTTGATCGCCAGTATACATGTTTGAAGGGTTTCTCCTATTAAAGGGTGGTAGCTACAAAGTTAAGAACTCGAATCCCTATTGTAAAATTATTCACACTTCGGAGGGCGCTACCGGCACTCACAAATAAGCAAACATAAAATCTTTAGCCCACAAACAAGTGCTTGCATAAATCCTAGCTCGGGTACAGTAGGGTCGGGTTGCTATTGAATAGCATGTAGTGTTGACACAAGGTCATTTAACACGCCTTTTTGCTGAATTTGCATGTTATACGTAACAGCATGTGGGTTTTGGACGGAGGGAGAGAGAAAGAGGGGCGGG